TTACTACTTGTAGTAGTTTCGTGTCCAGCTAGCTGAGGTGCTGCGATGCGGAAAAGGAGAAGTTGGAGCAGGCGCTAGCAAAGCTCCCTGGCTACAAACGGACGCTTCAGACCCCGCGTTGTTAAGTTTAGAATAGGTCTCTTCTTCCTTGTCTTTTGTGGATGTTGCACCTGCAATCCAAGGTTGCAAAAGAATGTGGAGGAGCAGAACGAGAACTGCCTCCTTGGCCAGATGGCAATGTCCCTGCTTCAGGAGCAGGTTGAAGACCTGCAGTCCGCCATCGAGATCCTGCAGGAGCAGCTAGGCAGCAGAGACTTTCACGAGCATGGCAGGACATCTTTAGACCCAAGTGTTGGGGAATTCTGCCACACAAAGGGAAGCCCACGGCCTGCGGCAAGACTTCAAGCTGGGGCTCGCCAACAACAAAGAGCGGGAGCAGGCTTTGGGCGACAGAGCGCGACAGAGCCGGGGCCATCTCCACTGTTGTAGAAATGTTTGAGCAGTTTCCCACCTGCTGGGAACAGTTCGGCTTAGCAAAGCCTGCTGCCCGCGACAAGCATGCGGGAGGAAAATCGGAAGCTGAACGAGCAGCTGGGGGAGCTCAGAACCCAGCTCTTAGAGCTGCAGGACAAGCGTCTCGGCTGCACGTGGCAGCAACAGTGAACGCCTACAGTTCGGGAGTGCGTGCCACATCATGTGCTTCAAGCCGAAGCGTGCCTAAGCTCATCAACCTCCGAGCTCCCGCATGTCTCTCAAGCATCTCGAGTAATCCGAGTACAGCAGTCGAAGAGCATTAAGAGCTGAGCTCAGGTCGGACGGCCTGGGGGCTGATGGGCCTGTCGTAAAGATCGTAAACCATGCAGGGTCACAGACTGACGCTGCTTGCGAGACGTGGCTCGCCCCTGAGTGGCCAATGAGTACATTCCAAAAGCTTTGCTACAGTATGTGAGCGGCACACGGTCATCCGTTCAGGTTTAGCAGAAGTTTAGCAATGACCATGCGCCTCCTGCTATTGCCAGTAGTAATGTCATCAGAAGCCATCATGAAACGCTGGGCCCAGGCCCTCCCCCAGCGCAGACTCACAAAGTAGCGCCCCTTGGCCCGAACCGGGAAAGGGCAGACGTGCGTCTGGTGGCGGTTGCACAAGCAGTCATTAGCTTAACTCGACTGTAGAGAGGGACGGGGGGTGGGGCATAGTCGTGGAGTTCTGCTCCCAGTTTCGTCAGCACGTTGTGCAGGACGCAACATGTGCGTCGGATGATGCCTTTTCCGGTGGAGAGCGACCTGGATGCATCGGTGGCTTTCCTGTCTGTCAGCCCGCGGCTGCTTGCCCGTACGCATGCATGCTGTCTCGTCACTTCCGGAAGCACCCCCCCCATCTATTGCCGGCTTTCCTTCATTGCGCTCCATGATTAGAATCATGATCCATGAAGACGTGGGCCGGACTTGTCAAGGCCAGATCTGGATTCGACTTGTGCGTCGGAGCGCGACCTGGTGGAAGACGCAAAGGCACCACGGGTGAGTGTCCAGGGTGTAAAGAGAGTGTTTGGAGTCTTGAGTTCTCCCCCATTCATGACTATGGATGGGCTCTCACTGATGCCCTCAATGAGGTGGCTTATGCCCGTTTGGACATGCGGCGCCTCCACCACGAGCCCCGGCTCTGCCCACCGGTCCTCCCCCCCTAGCGCCGAGCGAGCATTGCTCCGCTGCGCCCCCGCAAGCTCCGGATCCTGAGAATCAAGCTGCACTGTGACAATGCCGCTTCGGAAGCCGCATCCTGGAAGACCCTCTCTCTCAGGGGCCTCTGCGCCATGCCCGGCGTTTTACCTTGCAGCTTCGATTTCGCATTGAAGCTGTGGTCGAAACCCCGCTACGTAACGGATTGTCACCGGTTTAACAAGGGACCAACAGCATACAAAAGCCAGTTGGCATTATGTCTTCTGCGATGGGAAAACTTGTTGGCTGTGCTTGCAGACGACCAGACATCCCGGGTTCTTGTGCCCGCATGCTCCAACCTGAAAATGGATCAAGTACTCCGAAGCCTCATTGTCAACATGTGCTTCCCAAACAAAACCGGGTTCTCCTAGCGGCTACAAGACTCAGACAAACGTGATCCTATACCTCGGGCCTTCCCTTAAATTTCCGCAGCTGTCCTACACAAGACCTTTCTATCAGAGTAGGATTCCGATCAAACCACCCAAAAGATGACATGACAAAGCCCAACTTCCCACAACACCGAACACAATTTGGCCCTGGCAAGTTGAAGCCTCTAATGCAAAGGCAGGAGAAATTAGTGATACGTTCCCCTTCTATAACACGAAATCAGCAGAACACCTATTCCAATTATTGCGGCCTCGATGATACCATCGTATAAAAACCTTACACATCCGTTTTAGGCCCTTATTCAGGAACTAGTCTGAGTCCACACCCCTGGAGGGCCCATGTTTATTGAAGCCGTTCCTCAGCTTTTCATGAGGCCCCCGCGGCTTTGGCAGCGGCAGCAGGCTGGGCCTCGGGGTTTCGGGGCTTTAGGGTTGCGGGTTTCAAGGCTTTAGGAATGTATAGGGTCTAGTAGATAGAATAAAGGGTTTTGGAGCTTGTGGGCTTACCGTAGGACTTTCGGATTTAGGGTTCAGTTGATAGAAGAACACTTTGTCGGTTCCAGTGCATTCCTGAATTGCAGAGCATCGAACAAGCAATGCAATCTTTGAAAGTATTGCAAGCCCTGCATTATTTGTTAAGTGCCTCTTTTAGTCACGGATCGTTGTTTTGGAGTTTCTGATGTTCATCTCATCGTTGCAGACAGGCTCCAGTCTGGAGGACAAGCCCAAGGCCGAGGCAAGCCGAAGGGACAGCTTTAGGGCTTCGAGGCTTTGAGATTGCGATCTTCTTCGGGAGTCTCTGGAGAAGCGAATATGCTCTGAATGATTCACACGGCTAAAAGCCATCGAGATGCGAATACAAAAACCGAGGTAGGCTGACTAGAGAAGTTGCGCTGGTAGCTTTAATGATGCATTGTCACATTGCAACAACAGTACAAACGACACTGAACAACCGTTTTGACTAATGACGTGACGCATGTCCAAGAATTGTCAGGGGCTGAGCCGCGTGTCTGGAGATTGAGTGTGTATGGTTTTTGTGCATTTTGTAAGCCCGATAGATGTGCGAATGTATGTACGTACGTATGTATGTATGTATGAGTGCAAAAGCCCGTGCGTGCACGGATGGTCGATGGTTGGATGGGTGGATTGATGGATGGATTTGGAACGTGTGCGCGCCTGTGTGTGTGTGCATCAATCTACCCGCCCAGCTGCCAACAAGCAGCCTTCAGATGCCAGCGGAATCTCCTTCCACATTGTTTTGCAGTTGTGTCCACACTTCGTTGCGCCACGCACATACCTGACACAAATGCATGCACGCCAACCAGTCTGCGACGGCCTAATCTACAGCCGCGATGTCAGCCCTCAAAGCTGGATAGGACCCCTCCACACTTCTCGTTATTGCACTGTGTGATGGCATGCTTTGGACAGATGTCCATGCGAACTGGGTTCAAGATGCCGGCCGCGAAGGAGGAGCGTCCGCAGAGGACGGACTTCTCTTTCCCTGCTCTTGCAGTTCATGTTAAATGTGTAAGTCCAGCCTCCCCTTCTCCCGAGCAATCAGGACATCCATGTGCTTCATGAGAAATGTGTGAGCCCTTGAGCTTGAGCATTCCGGAGGATCATGGACGAGAAGCGAGCATTGGGTGTGGAGACTTGGGTGAACCAGAGGCTACACAGAAAGGGTTTTGCCTGCCTTGAAAGCTGAAAAAAGCAGGGCTCTTGATACGCAAGCCCTCCACGACCTGCCAAAACCAGAAATTACGGGATTGATTGGCAAAACAGGCTAAGCATGTGGTCTTTCGCAACTGGGGCGGGCATCTGGGAGAATTCACCAAGGACAACTCCGTGGCCTCAGAGAGCTCTGCAGCTGCTTCTCAGGCATCAGCCTCGCCGCCCAAGGCCAGCACGGCGGCTTTGCTTTTGGGCCTAGGGCCTAGGGATCAGGTTTTATGGTTGGTTTTGGAGTTGGGAGGCTTCTAGGTTTGGGCTTATGGTCCTTGAGGTTTGAACGAGTCTGCGACGCTGCGATGTCACTTGTAGAAGGTTTCGGACGAAGGGCGCACTAATTCCGCGTTGCTTGGAGAGTTTGCACTGCAGTGTTTAAACGAGTGAAAAATCGGAGAGTGGGGCTGGGGGGCAGTATGTCCTTGCCAATACTTGCGTGAGAAAAGGCAATTCAACGCTTGCCGAAAAACGCCCAGTGTGCGCGTAAACGCGCGCGGACGCGTGTGCCTTGAACACCTTCGTGTGCCTTTGCCACCCTGAACTCCAAACCAGAATATGTGCTCAAGTCTCATCCAACGCGGCGCCGAGGCCGTCATTGCGTTAGCCGCCTTAGCCTGATCAAGCCTCAACTTCCCGAAGCCATCCCAAGCCTTGAACGCTCAACTCTGTAAAGATCGCTTTATAGGCTTTCGCCCCATTGTTGCTGGCTTTGGTGCAAAGGGTGCGCGTCTGAACTGAACTGAAGTCCCATTTGTCCCTGTGCTTGTACCGATGTCAAGAAGGCCCTGCCAGCGGTCAGAGTCACTGCTGCTGCGCCCGCTCCTGGCCAAATCCAGAAGAGTTTTTATGAGTGTGACGCTCGTTGTTTTTTTCAACTGGTCTAGAAGTCGTGGAGTTGGGACTTCGTGTGTGTGGAATGGCGAACCACCGACAGTTCCTTTAGCCGCTTGTGGGAAACAGTGCAAAGGTTCGGAGCTCCGAGGATCTGCGCAGGGCGGCGAAGGCGCGGCGGCTTTTTTGGCTTAGATTTTAGGGTTCGTCTGCAAGGGTTGCTGGTGGGTTCTCTGCTTGGTGTCTCCATAGTTTCCGATTTCTGACGGATTGGAGTCCAGTGGTTTCTCGTTTCTCTCCGGACAGTTCGTAAATGCTCATCCATTTTCTGCAGGGCGAGGATGGCCCTAAACCCTACATATGTATATATACATGTGGATATGTGGATGGTCACGCGCCCTCCTCCTCCCCCGTGGTCCCGGATGCCTCTTCCCCCATTGGAGCGCCTTCTGGGTTGTGGGGTTGGGGTTTCGTTTTTATTGGCTAGGGGTTTAGAGTTTAGGGCTTGTAAGTTTAGGCTTTAGGGGTTAATGGGATGAATGGGTTTAAACGTTTAGGACTTAGGGACTCAAGGATTCGAGTTTAGGTCTTAATCAGGGCTTCCGGAGGCTTCCCTCCTAACATCCAAAATTATGCCTTGCAAGCCTTAAAAAATACTTTTTTTGGTCGAAGTGGCTCCGACCCTGCAGGCTCTCCACAAGGACAAAGAAGCGTCGCTGTCGGACAAGGACAAAAAAGCCTTGCTGTCGGGGCCCTGGGCATGTGAGCGGAAGGATCATAGGTAGAAGGGGATGCAATGTCATCAGCTTGCTGCGTCGCAGGTGGTATTTGAGTACGTGTCCCGCCAGGGAGCGTGCCGATGAGTTGCTCCTCTCCATCTTCGCCTCGCAGCAGCTGGGCGCAAGTTTGTCCTTGCTCCTCCTGAATCCCCCTTCGGCCGCTCGAGGCTTAGGGTTATGGCTTTCCAAAGATCATCTTCTCACGGGTCCCGAGTCTCGGCACACAGTGGCTTGAAGCCGTTCATGTGCTCATTGTCGTACGAGTATACCTCTCCTGAGGGGAGAGGGCGGGAAGTCCTGGGCTGCAAACCTTTTCATCAGATCCAGGAGCTGAAGCGGTCTCAGAGCTCGAGATGTTCATAAGATCAGGGAGTGTATACATGTTTTTAGGGTTTGAGGTTTAGGGCCGTTTAGGGTTTAGGGATGTTCTGGGCTGGACAAGGGTTGTACGAAGCTCCAGTTGGGGATCCTGGAACGGTGCTTTTCCATTCGTCTGGTTGCAACCAGTCATGAGCCGTGTGTAGGCCCTCGGCTTTAGGGAACTTTAGAGGCAAGGGAGGCACGAAGCGGCCTTTCTTTCAGAGGGCTTCCAGGCGTATGGGTTTTGGGATTTTGGATTTTGGGGCCAGGTTACGCGATGGCAAGGTTTAGCGCAGTTCTGAAACCAACAGCAGCAAACAGGGAGGTGGGAGGAATGAAAAAAACTACTCGTGCTTGATCCCAGCACTGGCGTGGGAAGCGGGGTGGGGGGAATCAGGAATCAAGCTCGTCTGGACGCGAGGCTTGGAGAGCCCTGGCCAGAGCAGGACGGCGAGTGCAACGAGCCGGAAATGGCTCGGGCCCAGGGACTAGACAGGGCGTAGGGTTTCGATATTGTTTTGGGTTAAGCAGCCGTTGTCGCTCGAGGGATCACCATGCATTGGGGTTCCGGATCTATGGAATCTAGGGGTTTAGTTTGCCGTGGAGGACGTCGTGTTAAAGGACAAAGGGTTCTGCATGGGAGGACTTCCTGTAGGGTGTGGGACTTTCGGGCTCACCAAAACCCGATTCCTGAAACAGCCACTACCTCAGCGTGTGCCCCAAAGGCATTCGGCACCGCCTTCTGCAGCGTGCTGTTCCGGCGGAAGTCCCTGCACGAGGCTTTGTCTTTCAGGTGGTGGTGTCCGGGCTGGTAGTGGTGGAGTCGGAGTGGTAGAACGTTGTTGTCAGGCGGATGCAGCAGTGGCAGCGGTGCCGCCAAAGCAGCCTGAGGACACATGAGTGAGCGGGTGAGTGAGGGAGGGAGTGGGTGAGTGAGTGAATGTGAGTGATGGGCTGCGTGCTCCTAATTCCGAGCGAAGATGCAGGAAGACTCGCCCTCTCGTTATGCGGACTTTCGCTCCTGTTTTGACGGCCGGGTTCCAGGGGAGTAGCTACCTTGACATTGGCATGTAAGGTAGTGGTAAGAGGTGGAATACCTTTCGGTCAGAGCGACAGAACTCACCCGCCAGCCGCTTGCAGGAGTGCTCCGAGGCCGCCAACTCTGACTTTGAGAATTCGCAGCTGAGTCAGCGCCACCTCCAAAGCGAGGAAGGTGGGATGAGCGGCAATTTTCTGGGCTTCACGGGGTCGAAGTTCTTAGTGATTCCTCGCAAGGCGAAGAAGAGCGAGACGAGGAAGACGGAGAAGGCGGCGAGGCCCCCGAGCGGCTCCTCCTCATTCAGGGTTCAGGATTTCGCGGGATGGCAGCTGTGTTAGGGTCTCGCACGCGTTTGACTGCAGGGTTGTGGGTTCGGTTCTGGCCGGTTTCTGTCCTGGCTTCAGCAATCTTAGATGCCTCTTCCGCGATCTTCCGCCTGCCAAAGTCCATGCCCATGACGCCCATGGCAAGCCCTAATAATCGCTTGAACACTCCGAACCTCAAAGCCCGGATCCCAACACCAGTCTAACACGGCCAACGAGAGCATGAAATAAGCTGCCCTGGCAACAGGAGGGGGAGGCTGAAATGGCTGAGATGGCTGAGTTTCTCAGAGCTCTTTTCGGCGAGGACTCTTCAGCTAGTGCGCCGGAATAGGCTCTTTAGGGTTCAAGTTTAAGGCTTAAAAAGCACGATCGGTCCAGCTGGTGGTCACATGACAAGCGCTATTGAGAGCAGTTTTCTTTAGCTTGCTTCGAGAAGAGGATCAGCTGGCTGAATGAGCGTGCTGCGGCTAGCGGGGGGACCCGGTTGGAAGGACACCACCTCGGCAGTCCCACACGAGTAAAAGCCAGTGAAGCAAGGGTGCTTGCTTTGTGGTGCTTTGGTTTTGAGGCTCTCAAAAGCTACTGAATGGCCTTCAACTCTACTGCTGAGCAGCAGCGAAACTGCCATGGCCTGTAGGCTTCTCCTTTCTGAAAAAAATTTTCGCGTTCGTGACTGTCAGAGGTGAAAGAGTTCATCATGTTATCAAGCCAAACATGCAGTTCACTCGTCTTCCAGAAGGTTTGAATACTTAGAAACAGATACTTATAAGACCTTGTAAGCAGTTTGTGGCACAGTAGGGCCGAGGATTTGCCCTCCGCGCGGATACTGGGCCACTTCAGGAGCTCCTCTCCTTTTGTGTTTCCCTCCATTTACTGACCCGCGTTGCTGTACAGTGTGGCTTGGTCAAGCGGAGTCAATTGCGGCAGTCGGACTGATGCGGAAAAAATAGCTCGAAATCGCGTGATGTCACGGCATGACATGCTGCTGCACCAGCACTACTATCATTTGAGAAGCATTTGAGAATCATTTGAGAGTCCTTGCTGGCCCATTCGCTTCGAAATCCGAACAGACTTGCCCACACAAACAAACACCCACACACACACACGCACACAGACACACACACACACACACACACAGACACAGACACAGACACAGACACACACACACACACACAGAGACACAGACACACACGCACACACACACACACCCACACACACACAAACACACACACACACACCGCACACACACACACACACACACACACACACACACACACACACACACACACACACACACACACACACACACACACACACACACACACACACACACACACACACACACACACACACACACACACACACACACACACACACACACACACACACACACCCCCACACACACACACACACACACACACACACACACACACACACCCACACACACACACACACACACACACACACACACACACACACACACACACACACACACACACACACACACACACACACACACACACACACACCAACCACCCACAGACACACACACAGAGAGCAAAAGTAGCATGTTTTAGCTGACACCCGTCTTTGCAACACCAGGGAACCTAAGTCCAGTCTAGGCTGCATGCAGAGATGCACGAATCTCAACTCCACCGATAATTCGAGGGATGCCGAGGTTGCGAGCCCGGTGAAAGTAAGTCAGCCTTAAAAACCTTCAGCCTGTGGTGAGGAACGAGAAGCTGTAGCTTTCCCCGCGAGACCTGCGGGATTTGCAGCATTGCATGCAGGCTATATGCACTGCGAGTGCAGCGTATCGTGCCTGCCAGGCCCCGCTTGACGGCCGAACACCTGGAGTGTGGGTTGCTGGTTCGGCATACACAGCGGTTACCTTGTACATTTCCTGCAACGAGGACACGTCTTCACCTCAATACCGTCTCTCATCACATTCCTCACTTGTCATTCCACGACTCTCGGCCCGTACCCGGGAGCCCAAAATGCCGAACCCTGCGTGCAAACTTTGGGTAGGGTTACCGCACCCCGCATCTCGGCAGCAATATGCAATGCGTTTGCCATGTAATTATCGTTCTTGCCAGACCCCGTTTCTCGGCCTGGAACGGGAGTCTGGAATGCTTATCAGGTCTAATCCGAAGTTACCTTGCACGCCGCTGCGTATGCGCCTGGAAACGGGGGTCTGGGATGCCATACGGCCTAATTGCCCTGTGTCTGCCTTGCACATGCGCAGCGGGTTCGTCTCCATTCCAGCTCTCGATCTTCTACCACGAGTCACAGCCCATACCCTGGTGCCCAAGATACACTGCCCTTCCATCTTTGGGGTTTGGCTTGTACCGTCGTTGTAGTCCACCGCAGGTCGTACCTGGTATGGCCAGTAACCGTGGGCTGGGATGCGGGCGAGCCCTCTTCTGCGGCACACGTACTCTTTCTGGGGTCACCGTACTGTAGTCACGCGCTGTGGTTCCGGCATTACGCTCTGCACATTCAGGCATCATTCCCGCCTACCTCCATAGCTATGCTGTGGCTGCATTGAGCTCCGCATTGGCAACGCGCAGTACTTGCCAGATCCCGACTCCAAGCTTTCAGCCAGGGCTCTGGGATGCCGGTCAGGCCAAGTCGCGCATGTTTGCTTGTGCCTGTGCACCTTTTCGTTCGATCGCCGTGCTTCGTACCTTCAGACTCCGAGTCCTTGAGGCTGGGTTCCTTCCTTCACATGGTTGTAAGCAACCACAGGTCCAATTGGGGTAGCAAGAGCACTCACGACACGAGCCTCCCAAGTTCCACGTTTCTCCACAGTAATTAAACAAAAAGCACCCGTCACCAAAGAACACCCCTTACAAGCTTCTCCACCAGTCTATGTGGAGCAAAAACACCTTTACGAGCCTTCAGGTCCTTCTACTTTCCTCGGTGTCCTTCCCGTCCGCCCTGTGCCCCGCGTCGCTGCTGCTGGTCCGGTGAGCTGTTTTTGCTCCGCTCGCAGGTCGGCTGTGTCACTCATGTTGCGCAATCGCCAGACCCCTATTCTTGACTTGGAACCGAGGGTCTGGGGCGCCAGACCTTCAACTATTTGCCCGCGATTCGCGGTTCTCATGTTGAGTGGCACCCATGTTTTCGACGCTGGCTGCATTGTCGCTCCGGATGGCGCCCCGGCCTGGTTACCGCCCCAGCTTGTTGCCGTTCTCACTGCTCGGGCCAACAGCCACGTCACTCGACACCTGCGGCTTCACGTATGGACATGCCCTCCTCAGCGATCCCATGGATGTTTGCTGAGCGGCCACAGGACTCCCTTCGGTGAAGTCCAACCCTTCAGGCCCGCTCCGTCATTTTGACGTGCTACATCCAGTTTGTTCCCCATGCCGCTTCGTATGAACGAGTTAGCTCGTCTCCTGCATGCCTCCGCTTCTTTGTGCAAACCTTTTATGTGCTTGCCGTGCCCCGATCTTCGGCATGGGCCTGGGATGCAAGATGATGCAAGATACAGCCTGGCGCGCCCGTACACTTCTGCGCCTTCAAGGATGCTTGGCTGCCCGAGTTTAGCCGCCATCTTGAACCCTTCGCAGAGAGCGGCGATGACGGCTTCGGAGCCGCTCTGAGATGTGGGGGGGAGGGGGGAGATGGTGTCGGCCGCAGAAACATCTGTGGGCCATCTCATTCACTCACTCACTCACTCAACAATAGCTTCAATGGTTCGGCCTCTTTAGGTTGCCTTGACAATGGCGCTGCGTAACTTTCAGTCCGCATGATGTGGCCTTCTGTGCTGGCTCCTGAATTTCTCAGCGTGCTCTCCTTCTCCCTCTCCACAGCTTCCCTGTCTTTCGTGGGCACAGAACATTTCGTTAAAAGCAATAATTACTCAATAGTCAATAGTCGGGATGCCCTGCCTTTCTCACAGACGCATGTCCATCAATGAGCAAACAATCAGGCTTTTGCTTGCAAAGGAGGAGATGCGCACGGATTCATGACTCTTTGATGTCCCCGCTGTGCCGTTAAGCACCTCAAGCCAATTTACAGCAGCCATGACGGAAACTCTGCAGAGTTTGAAGGCATGGCTTATCGATGTTTATTGTCTCTCGCTTTGGCATGTTGTGGTGCTACTGTCTTTGCTGTATAGGCGCTGGGCTTGCCTGTCGAGAGGCCGCTGCCCGAGGGACACCATGGGACACCTGTGAGCCTCCAGTGGTGTTTGCGGCCCCTTACTAGCTAAGGAGTACATATATTCAGATATCTTGGCCGGACTCGCTGCACCGTGTCCGCCGGGCACTCGCCACTGGTAGGGGGCGGGGGGGTAGGCTATTGATGGTCGTAGCACAGAAAGGATCATAAAAGGCCGAGCAACCTTGCCTAAGACTTGTGTAGAGGCCCGTCGGATGAGCGCCTTGACCAGTTGGGCAGGGAGGAGCAGGAGGCACCGGGGCGAGGCAACACATCAATACTTAGTTACTTGCCAGCGAGTCGAGTCTCAAGAACGTATCGTTGCTATTGAGATGCGCAAAATTCGAAAGCAGGCTGCCTACTCATAGCCTTGTGTTTGAAAGGTGGAGACCGTGCCATCGAAGGATGTGCACCCAGTCAGCACTCGTCAGGCAGCAAGCGGCATTGACACCAAATGGCTTGCCAGGAGACCTATGCAGAGCACGTCGACCTCATTAAACCCCAGGTCGACCCCACCAATCCCCAGGATGGTCTCGAGGACGCAGTCGCATCTGAAAGGCCAGAGGATGTTGCAAAGGAAGTGGCTGCGTGCGTCCACGTCGATTTGCTTTGCAGGGGTGCTCAAGCTGCCTGGGAAGAAGTACAGCAGGCGAAAGCCTCAGCATGAATCGATTGCCTTTTTGCAGGCAGTCTGAACTGAACATTTCTGGGCGTGCTTCTGTCCGGTAATGCCCAGATGCTCAACTACATCGAGGCCCAGGCACGCAGCGTCTTGCAAACGCACTTGCAGTATACTTGCTTACTTGCGTGCGAATGGAGTGCGAAAGTTTACGAAATCCAGAAGTGCGAGAGGCATACACCGAGGGCAGCGCGTATGGGCGCATCTGCGAGGGAGGGGGAGGGGGGGGGAGGAGGAAAGGGGAAATGAAGTGGAGGTATCGGCATATCAGCGTACGCGGGGAGCATGGCCGAAAGCATGCGTAATGGCGTATCGGCATAAGTCGGTTTTCGCCCCCCAATTGGCGTGGACAAAAAAACTTGCTACTGCAACATCGGCGGGTGAACAAGCACAATCTCCGACGACTCTTTTCTTGCCACTCGTGCGCTGCATCAGTGCATGACCTTCAAGGCAGTAGCAGTGGCAGAACTGAGCGAGCATGACACCCTGCCGTGAGAGCACCATTAGCCGAGACAGCTAACCACTCCCGCCGTCGCCTGTCGGAAATTGTCCAGCAGCAAAGGTGCGATAGACTCGTCGATGTCTGCCCGTGCTCAGGCCTTTCGTTAACGCAGTCGTCGTAATCAATGCACATCAAACTAGGACACGGAAGAATCATCGATGATATGTTTGCATGAGACCGGGCAAATCGGGTCGAGCGACCGTCATGGAAGTATGTACTCTCCCTCACCCAAAGCTGCAGGAGCCGACAGTGCTAGGGTTAAGCAGTCCAACATCAGCGACACCTGTGGTTACTCGCCCATTTTTTGTACGATGCGAATCTTTCTGAGGCCACCTTCAATATTCGCGGGTTGAGCGGTGGCAGCTTGCATCAGCATCATCATTATCATCATCTGCAGCCAATTCTCAGCCGATAGCCAGCTCTAGCTGGCACTTAGTGATTCATCCGATGCTGCCGGCCTCCGCTGCCACGCCAAAAGCCAGATGCCTAAGGAGGCTTGCGCTGTATTGCACCTCACTGCCGGACTTGCCTTGGCAAGGCGATGATGGCGTTATCTCATTGCAACGACCTTGGCGACATCCACGGACCAAGTTGCGACACTTGCATTTTGTATTTTGCAGTAGCGCAACAAAGTACACGGTAGAGAAAAACGTGGTCGCGCTTGCTTTAAGACAGCGGCAAGGCCAGCAGCCCTAGTATGAATGGGATGTCTAGGCATCGGAGCGACACTAGCAGTGGCAATTTTCGTTCGAACGAGCAGAAACAAGCAGAACAGAAGTAGCAGTGAGAATAGTATACTTCAGTAGCAATGGTAGTATGAGAACAGGCTGGCAAGGTCAGAATGCAGGTTTGGAATGGAGGCAAAGGGCATATCGGGGCTGCGAACATCGATATTCGAGAAGGGATCCGGCCTCCCATCGTCGCAATCGTTTGCTTGTTCTTATGTGTTGAGCCCCACATAGTCACCACACTAGGCTCGTCATCCTCATTGTCGGAACCCAAATTTGTTTTACATGATCCCTCGTCCGCAGAGCGATCTGAGGCCATTTTGTTCGTGTCCAGCAGGCTCTCAACAACTTTTCGACGCAGGCAATGTGCCATCATTCAACCGTGCACAAGCCTTCAGTCGACGTGGTCAGAAGTTTTTGGGGCCCCTGAACTGCACCTACTGCGTGAGGTGCCCAGCCCCAGCGCAACTGTTTCCTTGCGTCACGGTTGCTGCCTCAGCGAATCTCAGCGAAATGGTCTTAACAAGCGGGTAATAATTAGCAGACCACCTGTCGTCCATCGTGCGTTTCAGGTGACCTCGCACGCATCCACCGGAAACTGCGTGAGATGATGGTGCAGGTCAGGTGCTGTCATGGGTGATTTCGTACTTGAAGTTTGTTCGGTCATCTACTCAGACTGGTGGACCTACCTTTCCGGCATGGGCCGGACCCCAAGACAACGATTGTAGACAAACGTCGTTTGCATCCTGCCCCTGGTCTCCCAGCTGTTGGGAATCGCGGAGGACACGTGCTGTAGCTGAGGAGCCCAAAACGGGCGATGATGTTCTGGAAGTGCCAACGTGTCCGATTCTCAAACACAGTGCAACATGATCGGCAGTTGTCCGTGAAGTCATCTGAGGCGATCTTGCCCGTGTCCAGCAGACGCTCGACGCGCAGGCAATGTGCAATCATGCAAAAGCCTTCAAGCGGTTTTTGCGCCTACTGCGTGAGGTGCCCAGCCCCAGCGCAACTGTTTCCTTGCGTCACGGTTGCTGCCTCAGCGAATCTCAGCGAAATGGTCTTAATAAGGGGGTAATAATTAGCAGACCACCTGTCGTCCATCGTGCGTTTCAGGTGACCTCGCACGCATCCACCGGAAACTGCGTGAGATGATGGTGCAGGTCAGGTGCTGTCATGGGTGATTTCGTACTTGAAGTTTGTTCGGTCATCTACTCAGACTGGTGGACCTACCTTTCCGGCATGGGCCGGACCCCAAGACAACGATTGTAGACAAACGTCGTTTGCATCCTGCCCCCTTGTCTCCCAGCTGTTCGGAATCGCGGAGGACACGTGCTGTAGCTGAGGAGCCCAAAACGGGCGATGATGTTCTGGAAGTGCCAACGTGTCCGATTCTCAAACACAGTGCAACATGATCGGCAGTTGTCCGTGAAGTCATCTGAGGCGATCTTGCCCGTGTCCAGCAGACGCTCGACACGAAGGCAATGTGAATCATGCAAAAGCCTTCAAGCGGTTTTTGCGCCTACTGCGTGAGGTGCCCAGCCCCAGCGCAACCGTTTCCTTGCGTCACGGTTGCTGCCTCAGCGAATCTCAGCGAAATGGTCTTAACAAGCGGGTAATAATTAGCAGACCACCTGTCGTCCATCGTGCGTTTCAGGTGACCTCGCACGCATCCACCGGAAACTGCGTGAGATGATGGTGCAGGTCAGGTGCTGTCATGGGTGATTTCGTACTTGAAGTTTGTTCGGTCATCTACTCAGACTGGTGGACCTACCTTTCCGGCATGGGCCGGACCCCAAGACAACGATTGTAGACAAACGTCGTTTGCATCCTGCCCCCTGGTCTCCCAGCTGTTGGGAATCGCGGAGGACACGTGCTGTAGCTGAGGAGCCCAAAACGGGCGATGATGTTCTGGAAGTGCCAACGTGTCCGATTCTCAAACACAGTGCAACATGATCGGCAGTTGTCCGTGAAGTCATCTGAGGCGATCTTGCCCGTGTCCAGCAGACGCTCGACGCGCAGGCAATGTGCAATCATGCAAAAGCCTTCAAGCGGTTTTTGCGCCTATTGCGTGAGGTGCCCAGCCCCAGCGCAACTGTTTCCTTGCGTCACGGTTGCTGCCTCAGCGAATTGTCCTAGGGGGCTAGTAGGCAGACCACCTGTCGTCCATCGTGCATTTCAGGTGACCTCGCACGCATCCACCGGAAACTGCGTGAGATGATGGTGCAGGTCACGTGCTGTGATGGGCGATTTCGTACTTGAAGTCTGTTCGGTCATCTACTCAGACCGGTGGACCTACCTTTCCGGCATGGGCCGGACCCCAAGACAACGATTGTAGACAAACGTCGTTTGCATCCTGCCCCCTTGTCTCCCAGCTGTTCGGAATCGCGGAGGACACGTGCTGTAGCTGAGGAGCCCAAAACGGGCGATGATGTTCTGGAAGTGCCAACGTGTCCGATTCTCAAACACAGTGCAACATGATCGGCAGTTGTCCGTGAAGTCATCTGAGGCGATCTTGCCCGTGTCCAGCAGACGCTCGACACGAAGGCAATGTGAATCATGCAAAAGCCTTCAAGCGGTTTTTGCGCCTACTGCGTGAGGTGCCCAGCCCCAGCGCAACTGTTTCCTTGCGTCACGGTTGCTGCCTCAGCGAATGGTCCTAGGGGGCTAGTAGGCAGACCACCTGTCGTCCATCGTGCATGTCAGGTGACCTCGCACGCATCCACCGGAAACTGCGTGAGATGATGGTGCAGGTCACGTGCTGTGATGGGCGATTTCGTACTTGAAGTCTGTTCGGTCATCTACTCAGACCGGTGGACCTACCTTTCCGGCATGGGCCGGACCCCAAGACAACGATTGTAGACAAACGTCGTTTGCATCCTGCCCCCTTGTCTCCCAGCTGTTGGGAATCGCGGAGGACACGTGCTGTAGCTGAGGAGCCCAAAACGGGCGATGATGTTCTGGAAGTGCCAACGTGTCCGATTCTCAAACACAGTGCAGCATGATCGGCAGTTGTCCATGAAGCCATCTGAGGCGATCTTGCCCGTGTCCAGCAGACGCTCGACAAATTCTCGGCGCAGGCGATGTGGATCATGCAACGATTGTTGTCGCAGCGACGGTTTTTACAAAAGAATTTCGGCCAGCTGAGCCTCAGCTCCAGGCAAGTGGCAAAACATGTCCGGCATGGGCGAGGCCCCAAGGAAACTGCTCGTTCTCAGTATTTGGCACCTTTGTGTTTTCTTCGTTCCTGCGTGATCCAGGTCGCTGCCTAGGAGAGGGCCTGAAGAGCTTCTGAGTCCTTGTGCACCCGGAAAAATGCGATGTCGATCGATGTTGCACATCAAGTCAGTCCTCCCCGATAGATAGACACATGAAGGGAGCCGCCATGGTCAGCAGCTTCGTGCTGCCTTGTTGGCCCTGGCGACACTGTGCCGTCAGTGAAGTTTCACATTCCCGCTGACTCGCTGGTAGAGACGTGCGTCGCAGCTCTGAAGTTGCAAGTCCAAATCCGCCAATTGAACCTCAGACCTGCTGAAGTCTGTTATTGCACATTAAAGTCCATGTCCTGCTACAGCTTGCGATTGGAGCATGCATAAAGCACCGTCCTATTCTTCCTTGGCCTTAGCAGACCAGTGGCCAAGCAATGGCTATGTGCGATCTCACAAAACTTTGGCAGTCATGCCGTCATGCCGGCTAGCCGCCGTGCCGAAGAGTTCAGTGACACCTTGCTGAAAATTCTTCAATTCATGCTTGTCTTGTTTTCGTTGGAGTTTGCGCATCCTGGCATGCTTGTTGTGCACACCACGTGGAGTTGGAGCCTTCCGACCCATTGTTGTTCCTGGGCAGGTCAGTCGATCGCGGTAATCCCTCCACATACTGACCCGCGTTGCTGTGCAGTGTGGCTTGGTCAAGCGGAGTCAATTGGGGCAGTCGGACTGGTGCGAGGAATAGCTCGAAATCGCGTGATGCCACGACAGAACATGCCGTGCGGTGCAGAATTCTGCAAGGCTGCACCAGCACTGCTATCATTTAAGCGCCCTTGCTGGCCCATTCACATAGAAGTTCGAACAGAATTGACCACGCACACACACACACACACACGCTCACACACACACACACACACACCCACGCACACACACGCACACACGCGCGCACACACACACACACACCCACCTACCCACCCACCCACCCACGCACGCACGCACGCACGCACGCGCATGCGCACGCGCACGCGCACGCGCACACCCACACCCACACATAGGCACAAA